TGAAAGCAGAGTGGGTTGTCAGAAGGCATCTAAGCAAAGGTGATTCTTGAGGGATCCAGGTTGACAGTTTTGTACAATCATCAAGTCAGTGAGATATTTGTGCTGTTTCCATGGCCATCATTCTGATCAGATATGAGGACTTCCTGCCTCACACCTCCATATTTTAAAAAGGATACTTTTTAATCCATTAAATAAAAATAGAAGAGAGAGAAGGTGCAGAAGTGCAGTTATGTAATGTAAGATTCTAGATATAATGGTTTTCTGGCCCTCTCTTTTTATGACATGGATGTGTATTTATTTATTTACATCAGATTGCAATAAGGTCTTTTTGGAGGACCTATTCCTGAATAGAACTCTAAACTTTGACCCCAAATTCTGGTCCTGTCAGTAATAACACTTGCCTCCAATTGCAACATGGGTGGCATATAAATTTAATAAATACTTTTTGAAACATGCTTTGCAGCTCAGGTAAGAAGCATCTCCTTCCAAATGATTGTTTATTATCATTCAAAATATTGGATTTAATCAATCAGATTTTAGTCAATCGATTTTAATACCCAAACACAATTTTTATTTCAGGACTACATTCTTAGAAGCTAGAATTTCTCAAATCTCACAAGTCCTGCTCCATTCTTCACTCATATAAAATATATAGGGAATAATAATGCTAACTGCATATAGTTTGATTCAAATTCAATTTCATTTTAGCGGTGGGGGGTTTTTTCCACATTTTGCCCTAATTTTGGAGCACAGTATAACATGCAAAAGCCAAAAACACATGTTGTACACCAGGTTCGGTTTTTTGGAGAGGGTCCAAAATATGTCCATTTACTTGCTGAGTTGGTTGAGGAATCCCTGCTAAAGACAGCAACAAAATATGTATGAATGAGACAGAAATCCCCATTCTGATCTTATTCTGAGCCATTTAAATCCTCTAAGTTTCTTTGCAGCTTCTTTTTTTACTATTTTTTTCTGGAAAGAGTCAAATATTTGAAATAAGGTAATTCCCAAAAGGCAGAAGTAATGTCCCCACATGTTTGTCCAATTTTATTTTCGGTTGCCCAATTTAGGCAGAAAGTTAGTTTTAAAGACAAGAGATTGTTTTCACACACAGAATGTTTTATTGGTCAGTGCATTAAATAAGTATGTCTTCGATATCTGTGAGCTCTTTAATATTGCCCCCGCTGTTCTTTAGGGGGGGGATCCCAAACACCAAAAAAGGAGAATACAAAATGTTTCATATACAACAATGAAACTTATAATAAACAGGAAGAAAAGTAGATGCAATTCAATAAAAAAAATTATGAACCTGAACAGTAATAATATAAAGCTGCCGAGAAGGTAGGTAGATGTCCCCCAGGTATACCATTTAGGATTCGCATCCAGAAATCTCTGTGCAAAAAAGGGTTCCAAATCCTATTTCCATTCCCTTAAGTAGTTACCATGTCAAAGGTAAAAAATAAAACAAAATTTACAGCAAGTAATACTGGTGAAACAATTTCTGAGATAGCCCTTGGGAGGAAGTAGCAAGATTCTGAAACTAGCCTTCCACTCTTCAAAGTAGCTTGCCTGAAATCCAGTTGCTGGTCTGGACACACCGCTTTCCCACTTAATATATCAATAAAGTTCACAAGATCTGACCCAAACTTTACTCATATTGTCATCCTCCATTAGGAAGAGAGCAGATAAAAGAGTAAGGTGTCAAAAGAAGCTGGAACATTTTCAAATGTTCATAATGCATGGCTATAAACTAAATAGATATATTTAATATTTCACCTATATATTCATATAATGCATACTGTCTTAACTAACATACCAGATTCAAATGTCTGCTTAAAGTGTGCTTTGTGGATTTCGACAGCAACTTTTGCGTTCTTTGATTCACAGCCATCACAGGCTAGGGACTTTTCATCATCCTGTAAAGAGGAAATGAGATGAGGTTGAGGGATACTTCCAAGGGCTTATCCTCAGGCCCCACTGACCATGGAATGAAGATGCTTTGCTGAAGAACATAGTTTCACAATGTTACCTTGATTTCATCCCCAGCAAATTAATGAATTAATTTCATTTTTAACTGTTCCAGTCCTAAATATTGTAATGTTTTTCCTCTTCTCCCAAAGCAAGCCTTGCATACAGCGCAATCTGCTATGCCTCCTTCACAGTGTTGGAGATGATGCCATCAAGGGTTGGGATCTGACCAGCTTCCTTTGGCTACTTTAAAAGTCCTGCAGACACATTTTCTCCTCTCTGATTATTGCCTTCTGAGTATTGTTGAGTATTGCCTTCTGTGGCCACTTTGGCTTGGCTGCTAAACACACCTGGCTGGTTCTAGTATCGCTTTACAAAACCTTAATAAGACCACACTTGGAATACTTCATGTAGTTCTGGTCACAATATAAAAAAGATATTGAGACTCTGGAAAAAATGCAAAGAAGAGCAACAAAAATGATTAGGGAGCTTGAGGCTAAAACATACAAAGAACAGTTAGAGCAGACATATCAAACTCGCGACGTAACATGACGTCGCGTGATGTATCGGGACTGTTTTGCCATTGCTGACAGTGGGGTGGGCGCAGCTTCCGCGTGACACGTGTGGCCTGTGGGCTGGCAGTTTGACACCCCTGAGTTAGACGAATTGGGTATGTCTAGTCTAATAAAAATAAGGACTAAGGGAGACATGATAGCAGTGTTCCAATATCTGAGGGGCTCCTACAAAGACGAGGGGTCAACCTATTTTCCAAAACACCAAAAGGCAAGACAAGAAACAATGGAAACTAATCAAGGAGAAAAGCAATGTACAACTAAGGAGAAATGAACCAATGGAACAATGAACCAATGGAACAACTTTCCTTCAGAAGTTGTGGGAGCTCCATCACCTCCAGGCTTTCAAAAAAGAGACTGGACAATTGTTTATCTGGTGTAGAGCCTCCTACTTGAGCAGAGGGTTGGACTAAAAGACCTTCAAGGTCCCTTCCAACTTTATTGTTCTAAGACAATGGTGGCGAACCTATGACACGGGTGCCAGAGGTGGCACTTAGAGCCCTCTCTGTGGGCACACATGCCGTCGCCCCAATCCTAGGCCTTCAGCTGGGTTTTATTAAACCTTTTCGCTTTAGGCCTCCACCACTGTCAGCAAAAAAAAAAAAAAAAGGTTCAATCAGTCAATTTCAACTTCTTGCAGGCAAAAAAAGTTCTTGCAAAGTTGGAATTGATTGATTGAACTTTTTAGTCCCACCCAATCTGCCGTTACCACCGCAGCCACGCCTACCCAATGGGCCACACCCAGCCAGTGGGCCACACCCATCCGGCACTCGATGATGCATAAGTGGGTTTTGGGTTGCAGTTTGGGCACTCAGTCTCTAAAAGGTTCGCCATCACTGTTCTAAGATTTCTATCTGCAAAGAAATGTGCCTGCTTAGTGCCTGACTGGAGCTCTCTGACACACACACACACACACACACACACACACACACACACACACACGGCAGGTGTTATGTGGGCTCTTTATAAACACATGTATACCCCTTATCTAAAAGAACAGTAGATCTGTTTATAAGAGAGCGGGGGGGGGGGGGGAGAGAAAGGGAGAGAGAGAAAGAGCAGGGGTGTTGATGGTGGTGCATATGCATGGTTCTTGTTTATTTTGCAATTCTACCCCCCCCCCCCATGTCTTTCTGTTACTGAAACCATCCTTCCTGAAAATCAAAGGGGCTCGCACTTTGAAGTGTTTATTTGGATCGCAGGCTTGGGCAGCAGAAATTGGAGTGGGGATAAAGTTTCTTCTTTGCCTAATGCAAACAGGCTCACAAACAAAGAGCATGCTTTGTACAGATACTGTGCTGTTCCAAAATAATGCAGCTTTAGAGTAACCATTCCAGAAAAGCTATTTTAGTATTATTTTTGGAATAGCGTTCTCCCAAGCACCAGAAGACAAGAAACAATGGATTCAGAAGTTGTGGGGGCTCCATCACCGGAGGATTTTAAGAAACTGGATCTCCTGCTTGAGCAGGGGGTTGGACTAGAAGACCTTCAAGATCCCTTCCAACTCTGTTATTCTGTTATTCAAGATAATGTTAAAGCCATATCCAGCTGATAGTGGGGCTTCTTTTGAATATACATGCTTGTGAAAAAGAAAACATATTCTGACACATGGCTATTCTGGTCATCTATCAAAATTTATCTACTCTCCAGCCTCAGCTCATGCTAAAAAGAACAACGGTGGATGTTTACCTTTTTGGCTGATAACATTTGGTAGAACAGCAAACTAAGTTTTTGTAACTCACCAATCAATTTCTTTAACTTGTCCTGTAATTAAACCCAGTAAGGACAGCCTTAGACTCTTATCAAGGCAAAATCTATATCTACAGTGAGGGCGGTGCCAAGTATGTCAGGATACTTTTCTACTTTCTCAAAGTCTGTATGAAAGCACTTCAGTATTGTTTTCTGATGAAACTCTTGGGAGTAGCCTCTGCATTGGTTCCCAGTCACACCTCTGAAAATTCCATCAACTGCTTCTGTTTTACGTTTCAGACAGTGGCAATAAAGGGAAAAAAGAAACATTTGCAATGCAGCACAAGGCAGATAAGCAGGTAGCTATTTCCTTGCTTGACAGATTTTTCTTTATCAACCAATCACTATTTTCTGTCATGACCATACAGTAGACTCAAACATATGAAACCCAGTAAGGAAAAAAAGTCTTGGTGATAATGGTGGGGATAAAATAATCTTGAATAAGACTTAAGTACTTGACTTCTGTCTGTCATGTTTCTGCAAATTACCCATAGCCATTACCATCTAGGACAGGGCTAGGCAACCTTGGCTCTTTTATGACTCGTGGACTTCAACTCCCAGAATTCCTGAGCCAGCTATTGGCTCAGGAATTCTGGGAGTTGAAGTCCACGAGTCATAAAAGAGCCAAGGTTGCCTACCCTTATCTAGGAACTTGCAACATGTATCTTTTATGTATCCATAATCTCATTTTGCAATCAAAAAGCAACAAAATGGCACAAATGATTTCACTTTATAACATACAAGACTGCTGATTATCAGAAACTATAGATGTACAAATTGTACATGTCTTAAAGAACCATCTGAAATCAAATTACAAAACCTAAATAATTTCTAGCTGTTTAACCTCTTTTGTTAAATTAACAGAGGAATAAATGATTCAACAAAAGTCTTTAGATTATGTTTTCCAAAACTTCAAGATAAGGGCCCTTGTGAGAAAGTGAAAGAAATGTAATTTTTAATAGCTTTCAAAATATTAAACAAGATTCAGTAAAGAGAATACAGGAACAGTACCTTGAAACAGCCTACATTTAAAAAGATTATTTTCTTTCTCATTTTCCATGATAAAATACCTTAAACAAAGTAACATTTAAAAAAAATCAAGTATGCTTTAATTTTCATCCTTGTTAATTAAAAGAGGCCCTTCCATTGCTCAAAGACAAACTGATAACAAGCTGTAGGTTGATAAACACATTTTTAAAATCAAATAAGCTGCACTTAGTTGTGTTGCAAGAATTTCAGTTTTGATAAGTGAACTAAGGCTTTCTTCTACACAATCAGCAAACCATTTGTATGGCTGCAAGAGTTTGTGTAAATTCTAATTACGTTCCGGAAAATCTTAAAACCATCTCAGCTGTCCAGCCTAGCAGATATAGAGACAAAACTTTACATATTGCAATTTCCGGATGGATGTGATGTTAGACTTTTGTAACAAAAAAGCCAAAATATCTAGTAGCAATTTAACAAATCTAATATATAATCTTTTGTTCATCACTGTCTGATCACATCTAAGCAGACTGAGATATACCAAAATATATGTGATAATAAATTTATTAATATTTAAGATGCCATCAGACACTTAATTTTTTTCCTTATATGCTAGAAATGCCACACTATTCTTGTCTCCCCCAATGACATCTCATGGTGAACTAAAATCCAGTTGGTGAGGCATTCTTCACATTGGAGCTAGAAAAGACTTTGCCTGTGGAATTTCATTCATTTGTTCAATTATGAACAACAGGTCCAAATGTTTTATAGACCTTAATTTTGGGTTATAATATTGTGATTAACCACAATATTATTAATTGTCCCCCTCCTCCTTTGCAATACAAACTTGGGTTGTTTTCTATAGTACATAGTCCATTCATGCAAAGCAATGATAGGGCCAACAAGCACATTCAGCATTCTTCGTGGATTGGGGATGTGCTCTAGAATGTTACTCCCAGAATGTTCTAGACTTCAGCACTGGCTCCATGGCAGTCAAGTTACATCAGTGATGTTACAGACATCTCTACAATGTTGGTGTCTTTATCACACGAGACTTCTTGGGATTGGAATTTTATTGTAATCACCTGAGATGGACCCCAAAACAAGAACACAAACAGCATGTATGTAAAATGTGACGAATATTTTTAAAAGATCATGGAAAGTTCAAGGAAGGTATTCCAATTGGTCATGGCTCCATCCTCCTGACCTGCAGGACTTCCCAACAGGAATAAATGGGGTAAGTCTCTTCAAGCCTTCACTTTTGGACCTACCAATGAAAAGAAATCCATTAACATTTTGTTTAACTTTTGGACCTCCCATTGTTGCAGCCATAGGAGGAAACAATTCAATTTCCTGTCTTTACTTTCTTGTCATTTAATATTTAATTCTTTTAACTCTATTTAATTTTAACTTAATGTAAACCCAACCAGTAGCACCCATTGTTTTTAGGCAATCTGTCACACAGAAGCCAAAGAGAGTCCTTGACTTAAAAAAAAAGATCTACACCCCTGCTTTATAGATTTTAAAAAAGCAAAAACAAAACCATTATGCAGAAATCTATCCCAAAATCTACTCCAGAATTCTGGAAAAGTTTGGATGCTGAAAGGACTTTCAATTAACAAATTGTTGAACAAATGCCAGCTGGAATTTCTATTATAAATAGATTCCCTGAGGCTCATAGTGGTGCCAGCCTTGTCTCATTGTCTCAGAAATTGTGCTTCATCAATATATAGCAGCAGCATCTGTTGGGTATGGAGGTGTGTCAAAATCAGCAAGATGGCAGATGAAATACCATATGCAAACCCCTCCCTTAAGGGTGGGGCTTGAATCAGGATATTCCATCTATTATCTTGTTGATTTTAAATCACCGCTGCAGACAATGCTGACATGTAGGATTATTCCAGAGGGACAACAAGACGTTGTGGGTGCTCTTATCACTGGAAGTTTTTAAGAAGAGATTGGACAGCCATTGTCTGAAATGGTATAGTCTTTTGCTTGAGCAGGGGGTTGGACTAGAAGACCTCCAAAGTTCCTTCCAACTCTGTTATTCTGTTCAGTTCTGTTCTGTTCTGTACTACTCACCTGTTTCAGCTTTGTGGTATGATAGCTTTTCCAAACCTAGTGTGTCCTAACTGGCTGGAACTACAATTCCCATCACCACTATTCTTGGCTGGGGAGCATACTGGGATGTATCAGGCTGGGAAAGGCTTCTATGTGTGATGCACAAAAGGGGGGGAATAGTGGTTTTTCTCAATCACTTTTAATATTAAATAGTGAGGCATATTAATTCATGCTTAAATTATTTTGTTTTCCTTTTCTCTCTTCTAGTGTTTCTCCTAATCTAGGTCATCTTATTTTTTCATTTGAAACACCAAATGGAAGAACTGCTTGGATTTTATTACTGTGTAGGATGCTCTGGAATTTTTCAAGCTGAGGAATGAGCCATGTATTATTTAGATATATAATAAATAAAAGTAGCACCTACCCACTGAGGGTTAATCTACTTTACAGATTAAAAAAATTGAATTTCACAATCAAATCCATTCTCCAAGCAACTTTTTCTCTTGTGCTAACACACAGAGTGAAAAATGGACCTTGTAGGGAAAAAGGCATGTAGCAAAAAATCCCAAAGAGGCTTTTTCATGAGGCCACTGGATTTTCTTGTTTTTTCTTTGAAGACGTTTCGCTTCTCATCCAAGAAGCTTCTTCAGCTCTGATTGGATGGTGGGGAATGGAAGGATTGCTATTCCTGAAATCCTTTCATTCCCCACCAATCGGTAGAGCTGATGAAGCTTCTTGAATGAGAAGTGAAACGTCTTCAAAGAAAAAACAAGTCTTTGATATAATTATAACCTGAATGACTGAGAATCTCCATAGACATATAGGAAAAAAAAATCACAACTTCACACAACCTTATGCTTTTTGGTAAATTTTGTTAGTTAGAAAAGGTGTCACCAAATTCCTTCTGATATTTTTGCCAGTAGAAAGTGAGTGAATTAGAACTTTCTCCAATTCCCAACAAATAATTGTTATCCTTTGAAAAACACTGTTCACAGCCAAGGTGGTACCAAAGCGATTGCTGAGTAGGAAGGCCAGTAAAAGAGAGGATCTTTTGGCAACACTTCTGCACATATTTGCATTGCCTTGCACAAATGAAAGGGAGAGGAGCATAGGGACCTTACTAAAGTGTTATTGCCTCCGGTCACTTTTCGCCCTGGGTTTGCTGTCGTCCAGAAGTGAAGAAAGGATCTGGTTTGAATGGTGTCGCTTGTTTTTGGGGTTTGCTCGGAGCGGGGCGCCCAGGATCACATCTTGTCCTGAGCCTGGTTCAACGGAAGACAAAGAATCTGAAAACAAAGGAAACCGGGACGGGTGTTTTGTTTAAAAGACAGGGAGGGGGCAGCGGGAAATGCCCTGGCCATGGAAGACCCTCATCTCCCTGGAAAGAGGGATGTCTGAAAGCTTTGGCTGCCTGAGAGGCAGACAAATCAATGGCAATAAATTATAAATACTGTAATCAACTGCTATCAAACTAATCATGAACTGGTTTCGTATAGCAGTCAAAGTGCTGCACTGGAAACTGGGGGACTCTGAGTTCTAGTCACTGATTTTGGGTCAGACATTCTCTCTCAACCCGCCCTGCCCCACTGGGATGTCATTTGTTGTGGGGAACATAGGCAGAATAGGACCCTAAAATATCATAAATGAATGGTGTTCTAGACATGTGGCTGCTCTTCCTGTATTGCCATACTTAGTCAAACTGTAAGGGGCCCACTTTTGCCCTTCCAAAAATGAGATAACATCACCCAAAAGGGAAACATGGCATGGTTTTGCTTAAAATTTGTACCTGCTCATTTCCATATCCAAGTTACAAATGTAGAAATCCATTTTAAAATTTAGACAAAAAATGCAGCACATCATCTCATAAAAAGAGAAAACGGGTTACTGAGCTGCATGCCTGTATAATCAAATGTCCAGGGGTTGCAGTTCTGAATAGATAATAATAAATTCTCTCTTCCGAGGATCTTTAAACTGGACCTGTAGTGAACATTGCCCCTCCGAGATAAGGCAAACAGGTCCCTTGAAGTAAAGCCAGGTTTGTTGGCACTCACCATGAATCCCTATCATATGTTCTAAAATTAGCACTCTCTCTGCTAAAATCTTCAAGGCCTCCCGCAGTTGCTGGACCCCTTCACCCTTCAGAGGAGAGAAAAGATGAGGGAGAGAAATTTGTGCATGGTGTTAAACTTATATTTCCTCTTTTTTTTTTCTTAAAGCAAATTGTAAGTATTTCAGTAACTCATTTAACCTCTTAAGGATTGGCTGCATGGTTTCAAAATGGTTGATACAGGTAGTCCTTGACCTATGACTATAACGGAGCCTGCCCATTATAGTCATATGTTGTAATGGTCATAAAACAGGACCAATCAGGTGACTGAGCCAATTTTATGATCTTTTTCTGCAGCAGTCACTAAGTGTACACTGTGGTCATCAAGCAAGCCAATGGTTTGCTATGGGTGTGATTTTGCCAAAACCTGGAAGTAAGTGCTAGATTTTGGTAAAACTATCGTAAAATGCAGTCATGTGACCAAGGGATGTTGCAAACAACTCTAAATACAACCGTATTGCTGAGCACCTGAAATTTGTGACTGCAGAAGAGGCCCAACCATCAGAACTTTGAAGTCCCATTTTTTGGATCAGCCATAACTTTGAATGGTAAGTGATCAGACATTAAGTGAGGACTACCTGTTTTTAGTTTCCAACAGTGGTCTCCAACCTTTCTGGCTTTACGGACAGGCAGGGGGAGGGGAGAGGGGATGATTCCATGTGAGTGGCGGGGAAACATGTGTGCATGCATCTTCACTTGCTGCTCGTGCAAGTGGAGCTGCACACACGCACATACATTTGCCTGCCACTTCCCTGCCCAGTTCCGAATAGGCCATAGCTGATAGTGAGCTGCACCCTGGGGGTTGGGGACCTCTGGTTTACAATATGGGTGGATTCACCAGTACCTACACATTTGCGTGCATACACACAGAGATATACAGCATTTGAAAAAACAGCATAGGATGGTAAACAGTGATCTTGATATGCTATCTTTCTATTACAAGGAGCATTTTGCCATTCTTGGTGCTTTCTCTCAGCTTTTGCCACAGGTTGATTAGAAGCTTTAAATTTCACAGAACTCTCTGGAACATCCATTAATGGTTGAAATGCAGAAATCTAAATGACAGACAACCAAACAGAGTTGCTGCTTGTTTGTGGCTAGGCAAGGATAGAAACAGGTTTACTTTGATAAGCTGTTCCTTCCCACCAAGGAACTGGATTCACCTTTGATGGTCAGAACTTCAGGTTAATATTCCAATCCTATTTCTCACTTGATATTTACATTTAATAACATTTGACATTTCATCTCATCTTGTTAGGATCTGAGCAATTGGGAGCAAATAGGATTTAGAGCCTGACACGCAATGACTGGAAGCTCTGATAATATCATGGAGGTATCATACAAGGGCATTTCACATTTAAGGACCAGACCCTGATCTCATATAGTGGTGTTTGAAGATTTTTCTTGCACTCCACCCCTTCTAAACCCCTGCAAATTTCCATTCTGTTTGACCAGCTTTTGAACCTCTACCTGAATTAAAGCATAGAAGATCAACTGGAGGATCAAAATTGAATTGCAACTAATATGCAGAAGGCACCTATTCTCTTTCCCTCCCCCCTCTCCTATTTCCAGTTATTTCTTCCACAGAGACAGGAACTTCTGAATTAGTGTCTGGAGGTGACTTGAAAACAGATGCAAGCAATCAAGCCAAAAGTTAATTCAGAGAAGATGGTGTACACTGAGTTATCACTGGCTCAGATTTATATTTAGTTCTGCCCTTCCCCAAATGACCAACTATACAATCAGGGAATTTACTGAATCTGAATTAACTGGGAAGCTTTGAGTTTGTAATGATTGTGAAGGAGAGTTTTTAGGAAGTGAATCTGCTATATCAAATGCCATCATCTTAGATGGTGTCTCTTTTTGTCACCTCGTTTACCACAAGTGGTGTCAGATTTAGTTTGTTACAAAAAGCACGTAGTACTTTACCACTTGTCAAGGAAAGCCCTCCAGGACATGAAATATTAAAGAATCTCTCCTAATTTCCGAGACGTTTGGCTAAAAATGCTGGCCCTTTTATGAACTCCAAGAGTAGCTTCTGAACCCGAGATGGCCTTTTGAATTCAGTGCTAGATAAATTTACATAGCAGCACAAGGAGAGATTGTTGACACGATTCAGAAAAGTTTGATTGTATCCTTACATCAGCACCTCGGTCTCCTTCTTCACCTTTCTTACCAGGTTCACCCTAAAAAAAGCAGACAGAAATTTATATCAAACTGACAACGGTGTCTTTCAAGTAGTAAAGAGGAATAGAACGAAAGGAATGCTATGATTCAAGCTCTTAGTCTCCTTCTACATTCCCCAATGTTGTCTTCTCCTGAAGTGCTGGACTTCGACTCTCAATTCACATCAGCTGTTCCTCCAACATCTAATCTGTTTTCTCCAAGGAAACCCTTAACTAGCTTAGTTAATGCTATTGGTTGTTGAATAAGATAGGGGCAGATCATGAAACCAAGCAAACCATAATAGGGCTTGCCAATAACATTTAGGAGGCTCCCTCTAGAGCCAGCAATGGTTGTGGTCAGCTGCTTCAGCAATGGTACACCTGTGCTTATTGAAACAGCACTCCAGGGGCAAGTGTGGGATCTGAATTCCATTAACAATACGCATCAGCTTTGATCTCTTCCTGAAATACACTATCCATTAGTGGCGTACTTTAAAATTATCTCCTGGCCCACCCAAGAAGGAGCTCTTCACAAACAAAAACATGGGATTAAAAACAGAGGGCTGGCTTGAGTAACAGGACGTTCCAGAAGAAACTTGGCTCTGATGACTGTCCTTGGAAAAACTCTGAATGCAAAGGATGGAAAAAGATTTTACCAGTGACAGAAGAAAAAGGCAGAAAGATAATATAGTGGGAGAGGTTATACCCAAAAAATGGAAGAATCCACTTTTAAAGAGTTTTTCTATGTTGTTTCTCTAATCTAAGGTCTTCTGGATGTACTTAAACTAGAAATCCCAAAATTCCAGCCACTAATAAGTCTTGAGTAAAGTAATAGGGAAAAACATAGGTATAAATAGATTTCTTTTTTTTTTTCTTTTCCATGCCTTCAAATCAGCATTGATTACAAGTATGACTGGTTGCTTAGCAACCATCTGAAGTTACAACAGACCCCCTCAAAAGATACTTATAACCCAGTTTCAAAGTTTCAATAGCGGTGGCATAAGTGTGGAGAGGAGCTGGACAAAGGAACAGATCTGGCCAACTGTCAGATTCATGGCAGTCAGGAAAATCATGCCCAGGAATGGGCAGTGCTAGAGGCTGTGAGGGGTTGTTGATCAGTGACCCATTTCCTCTCCCCACACCCATCCCAGGAGAAGAAGGCAATATAAGAGGCCCAGCCAGTGTAGCAATATTGGATATTGTGATAGAACCGGAAGTGAAAAGCAACAGAGAGGACTGAGAACAAATCATACAAGAGACTGAGATGAAGACTGACATGGACTCATTTGGAATGAAGAAGTCAGCAGTAAAGGAAAAGGAGGGGACAGGGTGTAAGAAAAGTAGATAAGAGACATCGCAAACAAAATAATGTGAGTGGAATAAGAGAGATGTGACATAAAGAAAACCAGAGGATTACAGAATGAAACTTAGTGCTGCGAGAAACAATGTGGGACAATGAAGACTATCAGGTGATCCAGAAAGTGAATGATGGACAATAGGGGACCCCGACAAGTGGTCAGTGGACGGTGAGAGGGTGATGGGGATTTAGATCAGTGCTCCAGGGAGGAGGGCATTTTGGAGGCCAACACTAGAGCATTGGCCTGAGGCTGCAACCAGTCATTGAATACAAGCCACAGAATCTAAATAGGAGACCTTGGGCAATTGCTATTGGTCCTTCAAGACGGTCTTGATGATGATGAAACTGGATGGAGCCATAGAGAAAGGGGTGCTAAACAATCTGTGCATAATCAATTAACATCAAAAAGATGCTGGCCTAGATGGGATAGGAAAGAGGTTAGACCACCTAACCTGGGAGAACCTAAGGGGTAGCTGGGACTCCTGGTGCCCCAGTTAGTATGGGCAGTGGGGGAATAAAGTCACAGGAAATTTTTTAAAAATGGGTGGAATGAGAGTGAAGAGATGAGTTGGTGGGAGCAGAAGTGGACTGATATCAAGGGATTGGCAGAGTGGCTAGGTCAGATACTCATCAGATGGATAGAGAGTGGGAATGGAAAGATGTGTGAATGGAATAGGAATGAATGTGAACTGGAGGTGTGGCTTTTGGGACTCCTGCACCTGGGAGGAGAAACAAGGAAGAGCTAAGAGGAGGCAGTATGAAGGGTAAATGTTAGAAGAAGTAATGAGTTGGAGATAAGAGCTGGGCTATTAGAGAAGAGTAATAGGTAGCTTGATACTCATCTCTCTTTTAGCTCAGCATCCTCACTCTAGTGCCTAAGTGATCATTTCGTGGGTTGCCCCAGCATCAAGATGTTGCCAGTTCTATGTAGAATAATAATATGCATGTTTATGACTTGTCATGTGTTACCAAGACTTGGCTGGAGAGAGATGTGTCAGGACTCACATCAAGTTTGTGAAGAAGGATAGCAAAGAGTGCCTGGGACAATTTGGTTGTGACCAAAGGTCATGCTATGGAGGTGGCTAACCTGTTTCTGATAGTGTGACAAGTGAAAGATCCTGCTTATGTTCACCTTGCTGTGTGGCCCAGTTCCTATTTGATCCCCTGGAGCTTATTGCAGGGGTCTCCAAACTTGGCAACTGTAAGACTCATGGACTTCAACTCCCAGAATTCCCCAGCCAGCATTCTGAAAATTGACATCCGCAAGTCTTAAAGTTGCTAAGTTTGGAGACGCCTGGCTTATTGGAAGACTGGTTATGCTGTCTCAACTGGGGGCGCTGTGGATCCTCAACCTTTATGCCTTGGGTGAAATTAACCCGCAAACATACATGGACACACATAAATAAATCACTTACAGGAAAACCCTTAATGCCTCTTTCACCAGTCTGCCCCGCTGGCCCCTGTCAGAAATAAAATCAATTAATGGGAAAGTCCAGCTGCTAGGTTAGTAGCTAAAGCAATTTGTATGTTTGTTTGTTTGTTTATATGAGAAGGGAATAGATCAGAGGGATAGATGAGCATCAGAATGTAGAATCAAAAGTCTTTTGACCAACATTAAATAAAACTGATTAAATGTAGTGTTTTGATACAATGAGATACCTTTTAGAAGAAGAAATAACTAAGGCTTTAGGAACAAAACCTGAGATCCTTTTACTTATTTGTATTATTGTTCTTAGTATTTTTTTTAAACTGTGAGTTACCATACCTCAAGGCAGTTTTCAATAAAAATTTCAAACATTAAAATCCAACAAAAATTAAACGTCTGCTCAAAACATGTGTTTATAAGGCTTTCTAAAATGCCAGCAAAGTTGATTTCAAGATCTGAAGAGGGAATGCAGTTCCGACACTAAGGGAACTATAGACAATTCCTGGTGATCCTTGGAAAAATATTGTTTTTATTAGATTTTTATCTCAGCATATTAACATATTTTTATATAAAATTCAAGATGGCAAACATAACATTCTTGCTTCTATTTTCCCCCTAAGAACCCTGTGAAGTGGATTGGGCTGAGAGAGAGTGACTGGCCCAAAATCACCCAGCTTGCTTTCATGGCTAAAGGAGAAGTAGAACTCTTGGTTTCCAAACCAGCACCTTAACCACTAAAATTGGTGTAGAGGAATGTACAGTAATTGGTTCTTGGGCCTAATGTACATTGGTCTTAACGTACATTGTATTTTGTTCTGAAATGTATGGGGATCAGTCCATTCCAGTGGCATTGGCTGTTTTTCCACATTGATCAATGGAAGAAGAACAGAATTTCTTCCGTTCAGAATCTTCTTTTGAGCATCCCCTGGTTGTTAAGCATGTTTTCTTGGTTGCCTTTAACAAGAGCTTATGGATGTCTATGAAGATCCTCAGCCATCCAAGTCATGGTTGTCCCAAAGATGCTTTTTCAGGAAATGAATGGATTTCCAGAAAACATGGTATATTCTCATTTCTTACCAGTTGGCTCCCAGGATGGGGATGGTTTAGGGAATTATTTCTTGGTCTTCTCTTTGTAGTATTCCTTGTTCTTGTTTCCTGCTGTGTCCTTCACTGCTTGCCCCTAATCACCTCTGCTTGTCCTAAACGATGTGGGCAATGTACTACAGAAGCTTATCCTCTGTCTCTTCAGTTGGGTGGTCATGCTCCTGCGCACTGCGTGGAGCATGAAAGGGGGGATTTTGATGACCAGGACTTAGGGGACAGTATCAATTGTGAATACATACAGATGGCCCCCTCTCTCTCTGGTCACTTGCAGAGTGCTGGATGCAGAGTCATGAAAGGACAGCAAGGACAGCACCCAATGTCCTAACCCACCCGAGAACATATGATATCTTTAGGGAAACACCGGAAAGGGAACATGTTTAGCTCCTTCTGCTTTCTCCCTTCTTATCTACAGTGTGCCAGACTTACTGGATGAAATCTTTATCTTATGTGTGTCAGCTTTGCTGGATGGGTTGCTTATGTAATTAGAAAGAATAAATACAAGTATTTCTTGTCATTCGGGGCTTCTCTCATTTATAGGAATCCATCTCTATTCAGCTGAATAAAAACGTAAAGCTTGAAGGCAACTCCTGGTTTCCTGTATTTTTTTATCAAGCAAAACCTCAGAACCTGCATATCACTACAGGAACAGGGCAGAGAACATCCTGTAGCCAGAAGGCTCCACACCCATTTGCTCTACTCAGGTGACCCTGAGGACACGGAAAACCTCCAAATGGCCCCAACGACTCTTTAAAAGAAGGCAAATGACCAGCTTCCTGCAAGGAATATAAATCCTTCCATTCCCCACCATCTGGTCAGAGCTGAAGAAGCTTCTTGGATAAGAAGCAAAATGTCTTCAAAGAAAAACAAGAAAGTCCAGTTGCCTCCTGAAAAAGCACCTTCGGGACAAGAATTTACGGAAGTTCTGAAGCTACTCCCTTTTGAGTCAATCAGCAGAGATCTACCAAACTGCAGTATAGAACAGTGAAAGAGAGAGAGAATAGTTTAAGGGCCCATCTGCTTGAAGAACAGCTTTTTTCCATATGAATTTGCCTGAAGTGCAATTTTTTATCTAAGGCCCATCTCTAGATATCATAATAATCTCAGGTATACCAAACTATATCTGTCATTAAATGTATTGTAGGACCAAATAATATCTGACAGTAAATATACCACTGTGTTGTGTAAGACTGCTATAATCCAGACTCAAAGAGGTGATTTGGCATGCCTGAAGGTAATTGCCTCCTACCAGTTGATAAGTCTTTTCTGGGCTTTTGCTGTACCAGTGAAGATGTGTTTGATTTAATGTGGTGCCAACAAGTACAGTGTGGACAGTTTATGCCTGATCACCTTCTCCCCTCTGAATCTGGGTTGCTGCTTTGCCTCATTATTTAATAATCTTTTTAAAAAATTCATTTTAGCTGTTGTATACAGATAGTCCTTGACTTACGATCAATTGCTTAGCAACCATTCAAAGTTCTGACAGACATACATGGGGGGGCGGCTTACAACCTGGTTTCAAAGATCCAACGGTCAATCCCCACACAGTCACATGACCACACTTTGGGTGCTTGGCAACCGGGTTACATTTACTGCCATTTGCAGCATCCCATGTTCACGTGACCACATTTTATGACTGTTTGACCAAAAACCAGCCCTTACTTTCAGTTTTCAGCAAAACCAGCTCACAGCAAGCCACGAGTTTGCCCTGTTGGTGCAGTGGTTAGAGTGTAATATTGCAGGCAACTCTGTCCACAGCCTGGAGTTTGATCCTGATGCCTTCTATTCTTCCGAGGTCAGTAAAATGAGGACCAAGATTGTTGGGGGGGGGAATATGCGAATAATGCTTTTACATTGTAAACCGCTAAGAGACTGCTGTAAAGCTGGAAGTTTTTAAGAAGAGACTGGACAGCCATTTGTCTGAAATGGTATAGGGTTTCCTGCCTGAGCAGGGGGTTGGACTAAATGACCTCCAAGATCCCTTCCAACTTTATTGTTGTTGTTGTTGTTATTATTATCTAATTTTATACTATATCAGATTAAATAGCACTGAGATCCCTAAGTCAGGGCCAAGTCTCCAAAAGCCCAAAGGAACCTAAAGGATGGCATAGACAAGGCCAGACAGGCACCTCATGACATCAACAGCCAACCGAAGGGACTTACATACTTGCATCAAATGTCATTATCCAACAGATGCAAACTGTCCATTGCAATAAGCTCATGACGATGTGATGGCACTGAAGTTGCTAAGTTAGTAACATGTTTGTTAAATGAACCTGGCTTCCTCATTGACTTTGCTTGTCGGAAGGTTACAAAGAGGGATCACGTGACCCCAGGACATTGCAACCGTCATAAATAAGTGCTATGGAGTGGCATATAAGCCTAAAATTCTATTGCTATTGCTATGAGTTCACTTAATGGCCATTGCAAAAAAGATTGTAAAATCACATGGCTGACCCGATTTATGTCTGTCATGTCTTATGGTGGTGATGGGCAGGCTCCATTATGGTTGTAACTCGAGGACTACCTGCAGGCAGAGGGATCAGAGCTCCTTATGTCATGAATGATCATTTCCCTTGCACTACAGATAACAACGATGAGAATGAGTTGAGAAGTTGACATTGTATAGTTACCAAATAGCAAGCAATACACAATCTTGTGATGTATGCCAGCACTGTGTGGAGTTAGTCAGCCCAATATCACAATTGCATCATGTAACATGAAGGTTGCTACAGGAAACATCTCTGATGCCAGCAAGACTTCCTCCTCATTAATTAAAGAATGGAAAACTGGCTCTTTATAAGATCAATAATAGGCTCCGATTTAATCCTTATTTCTATCAATGTTTCTGGGCTTCATGTGAGCCCCACGTGAATTTTTAGGAAATGGAAACAAAGAAGAATTACAGTCTTGTGATTCATTCAGGAGCAAATCTAGCTACGCAGATCTTTTAACAGGACAATTGGAATAGTGTAGAGCAGGGGTAGGCAACCCTGGCTCTTTTATGACTCGTGGACTTCCTACCCCTGGTATAGAGCATTTAGAACAAGGGGTAGAACAGTGTTTCTCAACTTTAGCAACTTTCAGATGTGTGGCCTTCAACTCCCAGAATTCCTTAGCCAGCCATGCCTGCTAGGGAATTCTAGGAGCTGAGATCCACACATCTTAAAGTTGTCAAGATTGAGAAACACTGGTGCAGATGAAGGAATTCTTAAGTGAGCAAGCAAGCAAGCCAGACAGCCATTATGTGAGCATACCAAAAACATGCTTCCAAAATTCGAACTGTGTCCATTGACTCAAACATTGCCCCAAGTTCATAATGCATAATGTATAAAAGGGATTTGCTGAACCACACTAGTGATCTGTAAAATGGCACAAATCTAAAAAATTGACTTACCCTTTCGCCTCGATCGCCTTTTGGGCCTTTCAGCCCAGGCTGTCCAGGAGAACCAGGAGTGCCCTGATGGAAAGCACAGACATTAGAACTGGGTTGGTCATCCTGGGCTGTTTTAAGAAGTGTGGACTTCAACTCCCAGAATTCCCCAGCCTGAATGAAGTCCACACATCTTAAAACAGCCCAAACTGAGAAATATTGCATTAAAAGTTACATTGCTTATGAAAAGCTGTATTCTCTGACAGCTCCTTCAGCAATAATTATGTCTTATGTTTTATCAATACTCAGTGGTTTACCAATGAATTCACTACTGTAATATAAACAATACTATTGTAATATCACAGAATCTCTTCCATATTAATGCAGAGTGCTGGATCCTTTCATAGGTAGAAAATATTGCCTTTTGCAAAACAAATAGATCACACATTTATCTTGCCTGGTTTTAACATAACCTGCAAGCACCATTGCCCCTATTTATTATTATTATTGTTCTTATTGTTCTTATTATTTATGGCATTTTTATTACAAATGCTGACTTTACACAACATGGGGTGCTTTTTTTCTAGCCTAACTTTATGTCAAATAACTAGCAATCCCTCAGCATTGCAGAAAAAGTACAGGTACTCCTCAACTTACGACCATTCGTTCAGTGACTGAAATTACAATGGTGCTGAGTGAAGGGACAAATGACCTGTACGCAAAGTTGCAGCCATTGCAGCGCTCCTCCAATCACATGATGAAAATCCATGCACTTAGCAATCCACCCACTTTTACGACTGACCGCAGGAACATTGCAACTGCCCCTACCAGGCTGCCTTTCCCCCACATTCCTCTTCGAAGGGCCCCAGAGGCCTTGGGCCTCCTCCCTGTCCCAGCACACCTTGCTCTACGGACCCTCTCCTGAAGGTTGCCTTTCCAAAAGAGAAAGTCAATGCAATGTGTGGCCTTCCTATTACAGAAGCCCCCTCATGCCATTCCAGCCGCTGCTTCTGCCAGAAGCAGCTACAATTCTCACAATCGCTCAGGAGGGCATGATTTTCCAAATCACTCAGCCTGGAGATTGCCCTAATGAGGCAGGCTTCCAGAATGGCCCCAGGTGGCCTCTGTAGGAAGGGTGTGCATTGCATTGGCTGGTGCTCTTTTGAAAAGGTTGGCTGCAATGGACTCAGTTGTGGTTGTACGTTGAGTAATACCTACAACTATATGGGTTGTATATCATTTGAAAAGTTAAACTATATCATGTGCTATTTTGTGCAGCTGCCAAAAAGGCCAACACAGTGCTGGGCTGCATTAACAGAGGGATAGAATCAAGATCACGTGAAGTATTAATACCACTTTATAATGCCTTGGTAAGGCCACACTTGGAATACTGCATCCAGTTTTGGTCACCACGATGTAAAAAAAATGTTGAGACTCTAGAAAGAGTATAGAGAAGAGCAACAAAGATGATTAGGGGACTGGAGGCTAAAACATATAAGGAACGGCTGCTGGAATTGTGTATGTCTAGTTTAATGAAGAGAAGGACGAGGGGGGACATGATAGCAGTATTCCAATATCTCAGGGGCTGCCACAAAGAAGAGGGAGTCAAGCTATTTTCCAAGGTGCCTGAAGGCAGGACAAGAAGCAATGGATGGAAACTAATCAAGGAGAGAAGCAACCTAGAACTAAGGAGAAACTTCCTGACAGTTAGAACAATTAACCAGTGGAATAACCTGCCTCCAGAAGCGGTGAATGCTCCAACACTGGAAGTTTTTAAGAAGAGACTGGACAGCCATTTGTCTGAAATGGTATAGGGTTTCCTGCCTGAGCAGGGAGTTGGACTCGATGACCTCCAAGGTCCCTTCCAACTTTATTATTATTATTATTATTATTATTATTATTATTATTATTATTATTATTATTATGTTGTTGTTGTTGTTGTTGTTGTTGTTGTTGTTGTTGTTGTTGTTGTGTCTGGTACAGAAAGGCAGAATCAGGGAGATCAAACTATTACAACTGTGCCTCTTTTCAAAAAGGAAAAGTTAACAGTAATGTTTTTAAAGCTTAGTAAAAAAAAAATCACTTTAATTTGACCTGAAAAGGCTCTCAACAAGTGGGTGAAAAAGGATTGCCTACCTGTACTCCAGGTGCTCCCATTGGCCCTGGGGCTCCCTTGGGGCCTGAAGATCCAGGTGGGCCTGGTGAAAAACATGTTAATGTATTTTAAGTATCTGCATATTACTTAATGCACATGTGTATTCTGATGCAAATTGCAATGCTGAATTAAAAGTTGTAAAATTCCAGACTTTCCTCAAGCCAATGATATCCTGATATGTTGGATTACAAATTCTGTCATTCCCAGCTGCCATGAGTCTTAGATGATTTAATTAACCTCTTTTGTCTAATATAACTGGAGGCATCACGCTGAAGAAAACTCTAGATCAGGGTAGGCAACCTTGGCTCATTTATGACTCGTTGACTTCAACTCCCAGAATTCCTGAGCCAGCATGGTTGAAGTCCACTAGTTGAAGTCCACGAGTCATAAAAGAGCCAAGGTTGTCTACCCCTGATCTAGATCATCATCTAGGGTTCACCTATCTGTTCTTTTTTGTTGGAGGAGAAATGTGGAGGATCTCCAAAAAGTGGTCTTTGGATCTCACCAAAAACAGCATAGGGAGAAGGATAGACAATGATCTTGACATGCTTGCTTTCTATTATGGATGTGTTTTGCCATTGTTGGTGCTTTCTTTCAGCTTCCAATACAGGTTCATTATAAGCTTTAAATTTCACACATCACTCTGGAATATCCATTATGGCTGATATGCAGGACTGGAACATCCACTAATGGTTGAAATGCAGAAATCTAAATGATAGACAACCAAACAAAGTTGCTGCTTCTTCATGACTAGGACAAGGATAGAAAAAGGCTTACTTTGATAGGCTGTTCCTATCCATCAAGGAATTGGTTTCACGTTTGATGGTCAGAACTTCAGGTTAATATTCCAATACTATTTCTCACTTGATATTTATATTTAGTAACATTTGACATTCCATATCATTTGAGCAGTTGAGAACAAATAGGATTTAGACCCTAGCATGCAATGAATGGAAACCTGTAACAATACAGAGATACCATACAATGGTATTTCACATTTAAAGATATAGTGGTGTTTGGCAATTTCACACAACATTCTAGAATAGAGTTCCCCAATGTTTCCAGCTTTTCAGACTGCGGGGGGTAGGGGTGGAGAGGGGATGTTTCTGCATATGAGGCCAGCAATTACATATGTGCAGCTCCATTTACAAAGCAGTGTGCACGTGCACCTGACACTCACTTAAATGGGCCACGCTCACACACTTGCCCTCTGCTCATTCAAGTGGGGATGTGCGTGCATGTGCACGCCGTCCGTTTCTGCTGCCCAGTTGCAAACCCCTCACAGCCCACTAGTGGGCCACAGCTCACAGGTTGGGGACCCCTGCTTTAGAATACCCATTTATGGTTGATGAGCGGGACTGGAGAAATTTAAATGATGGATAACCAACTCTCAAACTTTTAATTCCACTCATTTGCAAAAATAAACGAACTTGAAAAACCAATTTATTTCTGGAATTCTGGAACAGGTTTTGGCAAGAAGTAATAGAGCAGCCAGATTCATTTTACTTTATAATTTTTGAAAAATAAAAGAGCCTGAATTTTAAAAAATGGTGATACAGTAAGGACCTCTGAATTAGTTAAGGTTAGGGAGATTTACTGGCACAATTAAAGGTATTTTACACAGGCTAGGGGTATTAAACCTGAACAAAAGTTTACACCTCTAATTTGTTTTGATTTATGGCTGGAAAACAGCAGGAAACTGTTGTGATTTCTTTGCAATCTTCTACTGAAATCTGAATGTTTCAGGTTGTCCACACTCCTTCCTTGCTTTTAGGAAGCAGTGCCAAGAGTTGAACCTTGTGTTTCTGCAAGCAAAAGCAGGTGCTTTCCCCTTGAACTGGTGACAGATCCAGACTCCACCTATATAACTTGCCAGGCATAATTTTGGATCCCACTTCCAAATCTTTGCCCTAGAGAATTCTTGTGACTCCAGACAGGCTAGAACTTCCCGGCGTCTCTTTCCTAATAAGCGTTGAGTCCTTCCTGGCATGCAGCAGCTCACTGCTTGGCAGAAGGAGAAGGCTTATTTGGACTGATCTGCTTGTTAATGCTGCATCGTTAAGGGATTGCCTTCAAATGGCTTTACCCTACCTGGAAAAAAAAAGGGGGGGGGGAGTGATATAATTTCTTCCAGACACCGACTATTAATTACACTTGCCGATCTTTGGGGGGAGGGAGGGACTGGCGTGGGCTCCTTCCAAACTTAGCCTTAATTGTTTCAGTTGAAACCCCCAAGAGCTCCAGACACTCACCAGGGCAATTGAATCTGCCTTCATAATTAATGCAACCCTCATATATCAAAGTCTGGGATGAAATGAGCTGAAGGCTCAGTGCAGGAATGTGGTAATAAGAGAAAGAACGTCTTGTCATCCTGATGGGAGGTCACTTTTGAGTGCCTCTCCTGTGGACAAACCACTTAAGACGATTCTTGAAAGAAAGAAAGAAAGAAAGAAAGAAAGAAAGAAAGAAAGAAAGAAAGAAAGAGGGAGGGAAGGAAGGAAGGAAGGAAGGAAGGAAGGAAGGAAGGAAGGAAGGAAGGAAGGAGGGAGGGAAGGAAGGAAGGAAGCAAGGAAGAAAAGAAAGAAAGAAAGAGAAAGAAAGAAAGAAAGAAAGGAGGAAGAAGGAAGGGAGGAAGGAGGGGGGAGGGAGGAAGAGAGAAAGAAAGAAAGAAAGAAAGAAAGAAAGAAAGAAAGAAAGAAAGAAAGAAAGAAAGAAAGAAAGAAAGAAAGAAAGACATTATAGTTAGAAGTACAGGCCAGTCTAATGGAAGGAAGAGCTTTTATAACTATCATGATTTAATTCCTGATTGTTCACTGGACTGAAAAGGTTGCTGTCATTTGCGGCTATATGATCCTCTTTTCCCCCTTGTTCAATTTAGGGTTGGGCGTCTTTTGGGTAGCTGGAGTCAGTTCACAACTGTTATGGTTTGAGTTGGGGTGAGAATTTCAGTAGTTGGATAAGAAAGCAAAATGGGTGTGATTGGAATTACAGTTTGTAAGAAATCGTTTTTCTTTTCTATTATGTAAAGCAATCATAGGTAATCCATAGCCCACAGCTGCCTATGATTCCTGCAGATCCATTTTTGTAGGCATCCACCCCTCAAAGATTATGCTACCGAAATTTGGCACTTTAAAATGCACTTTACTTTGGCATTTTATTGTTTTGTCTTTTTTTTTTTTTTTACTAAGTTAAGACCCCCAAATAGGTTGTTTAAGCCTCTGGCAGGCTTAAAGTATATGCTTTGTACAAGAATCCCTCCTAACTGATAAACTAAAGCCCTCTTTCCCCCCCCCCCCATGTCAACTTCTCAAAGGAAATTGCAGGAGAAATTTATTTGTCCTTATTGCAAAACAGGGAGAGGGAATATTTTGTGTAGTACATTTACAGCTCGTGGACATACTCATAACATTACTGCCATAGGGTTACAAATGGCTCTGCTACACAAGCACTCACAGCAAATCATTTACCTGCTTCTCTAATCTGTAGGCTGTTCTCTTACCTCCCTATGGGGCAACAACATCACAGGCAGTCCTCAATATACGACCACAATTGTGACCAGAATTTCAGTTGCTAAGTAAGGCATTTGTTAAATGAATCATGTCCAATTTTATGATTCCCCCCCATGTTGTTAAGTGAATTACTGCAGTTATTAAGTGAATCTGGCTTCCTCCATTGATTTTGATTGTTGGAAACAGGCCTGGAAGATCACAACAAATGGCTGTAAGTTGAGGACTACTTGTATGCCAAAGAACAATTGTGTTAAGAGGCCAATCAATGAAATTTGCTGCAAGCTAGTTTCCTATTTTATTCTGTTAGTTTAAAAAAAACATTTTTAAAAAATCTGGAGGGACAGAAAACCTGGTCAGCATCAAGGTAAGCATCTGTTCATACTGGTGAACATGGATATGGTATTATTTATTCCTTGTGCAAAGCTGGTTTTAGGTTTTCATAGGACTCCAACCTCAAAATGTTTTAATTGCTAATACAGTAAATAATGTTTGATATATATATAATCCACATCAAGCAAAGCTCTTTGGGGGCCTCAATCTTTGTTAGGAATACAAAGGGATCCTAAGACTGAAATGTTTGGAAATGACTGCCTAATTTGTGGAAAGCTGGCAGAAAAATAAACCTGAAAAGTTTATAAAAACACTTCATAGTCTCAGCTTTGCTATTCTTGGTGACGGTGACAGTTGTCAACCCTTTAAAGTAGATCAGGTCAGAAAACCAATTGCACAAGTTTGACTGGAACTCAAGACAGGCTATTGAAATGGTATCTTAAAAAGCTGTGTTTTCCCTTCCTTTCTTCTTATAGTTAAGGCAGAGGCAGTTTGAGATTTTTTCTAATCCTTTCTTCAGTTCCTGGGCTTAAAATGTGCTTTATTTTTAACTGCTGCTGCATAGTTTCTCCAAGTTCATCTCAGTGGCTTTCCACAATGCTGAGTACAGCAGTGCTTATCGTATGAACAATTGTTAGCCAAAATTTTGATTCACTTTGATTCTCCAAACCAGAATTGATCAGACTTAGCATTTTTGAGATGCGTGGACTCCAACTCCCAGAATCCCCCCCAGCCACACATCTTAAAGTTGGTGAGGTGGGAATTGAAGTCCACGCTTCTTAAAGTTGCTGAGGTTGGCACACACTGCTCTAAACAAATGTGACTACTCCATCTGTAACAGAAGCCCTAGTTTTGTGGGGTATATCTGGATTTTTGAGAACACATGTGGAACTCATGTGGCTTCTGAGACAGGGAGGCTTTATAGTTGCCATTGGGTAGAAAATTAGTTGCGGTTCACTAATTTACCAAAAGGAGACATGAGAGTCCCTCTAGCCCCCACTTCTGTATGGGGTTGGATGTTTTCTTTCCCTGCTTAACTTTGTCTCTTTGGTGAGTGTACTCCAAACAAAGCTCCACGGTGCAGCTGTCATATTCTTATCACGCAAGAACACTTATACAGTCTTGCTGAGTCCTAGAAACATTCTTGAAAATAAAGATGATTGTTCAAGCTGCCACTTTGTTTGCTTCCCATTTATTTTTCCAACAGGAACACAGATGGGAAGATCGAGGGTTGGGTGTTAAAAAAAAAATCAGGTGTGTCAAGCAAACAGGTTCTAGAAGTGATTGTACTTGGAGTGTCAAACACAGTTGTTTTATTCCTCTGTTTCTATCAATCCATCTGTCTTACCTGGCAGCCCTATGGGTCCTGGTGCCCCACGAGGTCCTGGCAAACCAGCCAATATAGTGTCAATGACAGTAGATGCTAACTGTGACTCTCCATCTGTATTAGCAAGAACAGGAGGTAAGACATCATTGTTCTTGTTAAATGCATGTTACTGTATTTTGTGCCATCTGGTGATTTCTCTTGCAGACTAATAGAATTGGACAGAGTTGGACAGTCAGTCCTTCAGTTCCATTCCCTTTCAGTCCATGTTTTATAGTATAGCACAAGATGCAGCCATAGCATCCTGATTGTTTGCTGTCTACCCTCCAAGGAGAGGAAGCCCTGTGCTTCTTCAGACAGTTATTTGCATTGTTGATCATCTCTTACCATTAGAATAAGAATTTCTCCTAACATTGAGCCAAAATCTGTTCCCTGTAATTTGTCTTTAATTGCTTCTAGCCCTACCCTCCGGTGAAACAAAAAACAAGTCTGAACAATACTGGAATAATTACTAGCATGCATCTTTTCTATTTTTCCATTCGTTCATTGTCCTGCAAATTCACCCCATCTTCATTCTGCTCTTCCTGAATTCTGGCTTAAAAAGAACACCCAATGTTCATTTCCCAAATTAGTCAGGTAGGCAATAGTTCCTTTGACCCATCTGCAGCTTTTCTCCACCCTTTGTTATGGATCTGCTGGTATCCATTAATAAAATATTTAAAAACAATGATTTTCCTGCAATCCTACATGATGGTACTAAAGTTTTTTTTAATGCAGTATCTAAGTAATATACTCCACAACTCCCATGTTTTTCTATAATATTGAACTGCCTTACAATTTTGTACTGTCATGTTAAGACTGCTGGTTTCCCTTTTTCCTGCAGCATTTTATGAAAGTGTACAAGGGGCCTATTTTTTAAAAAAATGAACAAAAAGAACTTTACTGTTGGAGGGTGTTCCAATTTTTTATTTTAATACAGGCAGTATGGGCTAATGATTTAGCAACTGTTTGAAGTTATGACAGATTCCTCCCCAGAATTATTTATAACCCATTTTTAAAGTTCTGATAGCTGCACACACACATGCAGTCAAATGGTTGCAGTTTGGCCCGTTGGCAACTGACTTGCATTTACAGCTGTTTCCAGTCTCGAGGTCACATGAGTGTAATTTTTAGCAGGTTTTGCTGATTTCCGGCATTTACCTCCTATTCCCGGCAAAAACCCAACCATTTGGAGAAAATGGGTTGGCTTAATAACCACCAAGTTTACTTAATGACTGCCGCAAAAAAAAAGTTGTAAAATTGGGTGCATCTGTGATCTACTCTACTTAAGACTGCCATAATTTACAACCATAACTCTAGGCTCAATTATGGCTGTAAGTCGAGGACTATCTGTAATGTGTATGTTGAAGCCAATAAATTCTGAAAGAATTTGCTATGCTCCCTTGTTCTTCTGAATATCTCCTTCTTGTCCTTCTGGTTTATTTATAATATATTGGTAAGGAAGCTAAGGATGAATGAACATGCTGGAAACAGGATAATTAATTGGACAGAGTATTACCTTGGTGTTTTCCCTTATTTATTTCTCCTTTTTAAAAGCAACCATGAACATTCAGAGAAAATATCGTTCTTTCTTTCTCTCCCCTTTCCAGAATGAAATCTTCAATAGTGTTGGAAAAAGAACATTGGAGAGAGATAAGCTAAAGTAAAACTGCAGAATATAAAATAATGAAACGGGTATGTGACGAGAAACAGGGACACAGCTCACAGGGACACAGCACATGGATCCAGGAGAAGAATTTATAGGACCTGAAGTACAAAGTAAAACAAAGGTCTGGGCCATGAGATGTTTACTGAGATGGTCAGGCTATATGCAGTCCAACAATTCCCAAATTCAACTTTCCCAACTTAGTGTCCCTTCAGATGTATTAGAACTACAACTCCTACAATTCTCCCAGCCTTTGGGAACACTGACTGGACACTACTAAGAAATCCTTAAACCAGGAGTCAACAGCATCTTCAAAAAGCACACCGTATCGTGCTTCTTCTAATTTTAAAAATTAAAAATGCCAAACTCTTACAAGATCTCATGTCTGAACAGAGACTTTTCAAGATTTGGCTGTATCAGGTGAAAGTGGATACTGCAAAATTATTATTGTCATCACCAAGCGATCATTACCATCATGATCCTTGACCACCATCTAGTGGCACTGCAGATGCTGCAAAACCAACTTTTTCTTCCTGCTCCTAAGTTAGGGGTTCTCAACCTTGGCAACTTTAAGACTTGTGGACTTCAACTCCCAGAATTCCTCAGCCAGCAAAGCTTGAAGTCCACAAGTCTTAAAGTTACCAAGGTTGAGAACCCCTGTCCTAAGTAGTAAAAAAGGAATGTATCAATACTAATGGGAACAAACCAATATCAAAGTTTTATTTATTGATGATTATGAGGTAAAGTAGAACAGGTCAACATGTGCAAATAAAAAGAAGAATATTGCCAAGTATTGAAACCAACCAAAGAGCAAGTTAAACTATTTGAGTTACTAAAAATAATATTTTCCCTTTTTTCTCCCAACAACACAAAGAAGCAGTGATTTAAGCCAAAGAACTATAATCCTGTAAAGTGATGTCATTTAAACTGACTTGAGGTTGACACCTTCCAGCTATAGCTGTCATCAAAAAGCTGCCCACTTTCATAACCCAAAATAGCTTAAAAATGCTTTTTGCTAGACTGGTCTTCTCATACTGGATGCCTTGGAATTCCCTGACAGTAGAAACTTTTCATAGCAATGGCTCAGAATGATGGGAGCTAGGTCTCAATACACCTGGAGCACTCCTGATGAAAGCAGAAAGCAAAAAACAGCTTCGTGCAGAAAATCTCTGAAAAAACAAGTTGATCCAGGGTTAGGAAGATAGAAAAACTATTGATGTTTTTGGACGGTTGGAGGAGATTCCTGAGAATACCATGGACAGCCAAGAAAACAAACAAATGAATCCAGAATTCTCATTTGAGGCACAAATGACAGGCTCAAATTATAGGACTTCAGATACCTTATACAAATATCTATTCCGTTGAGAAGTCCATAATGGGGGGAAAGGGGGAAGGAAGAAGACAACAGGACGACCAACAGCACAATGCCCCACTGGAAGATCTAGAAGACTAGGTTAGGAACATCATGCAAAAAAAAATCTATCTATGTGGTTGCTAAGAATCAACACTAACTTCAAAATAATCATCAAAGCACATCATCATAATCACCAGTGGTTTGCCGCTAACAGTAGCTTTTTCACCATTATCTAGGTTCTACTTCCCTCTGCTGTTAGTAATTTGGAGCTGCAACTTAAAGTTTTGCAATAGGTTCTGCTTCCCAAAAGTTTGTTTCACCCCTCTGGGAAGAGTTAATCTGGAATTTGATGAAGATGACAGCTAAGGACTAACTTTGCAGACCAAAGGCCATGAAGCTGAAGTGGCCAAATAGATCTGGTGAGAAATCCACAAGTAGCAGGACCAAAAGCTATAAATTAAATACATTCAAATACTTGAAAGGAGTATAACATAGGAGATGAAGATCTCTTCTCTAAACTATTCCAAAATACAGTTCACAGAATAATGAATTTAATTTATAGGAAGATAGATTCCAGTTAAATATGAAACTTCCTAATGCTAAGGGCAATTTGAAACCAGAACCAATTACCCAGAGAGATGATAGATTATATTTGAAGATTTGTGGGGGGAGGGGTGTTCAGGGAGACATTGAACATCTCTCTGGAAGTTTTAATTTGGATTCCAGCACTAAGGAGGGGGTTGGATTTGATGGCTCAAGTATCAGTTTCCTAGGATTCTATCAAATCTGGAACTTCTATTTGGGTAATGCAACAGTCTTCATGAATCAACAATGTCAACATTGGTCTTAGTTTTTCAATACTTCTGTATTCTGATGTTAGCTGCCTTCAATGGTCAAATAAAAATAAAAAGGACAGAATAAATTGAATAAATAAAATAGGTTAAATAAATGTGAATAAATAACCAAATATATAGAAAACAATTTGCCTAATCCCTTTTCAAAATTGCTTATGCAAAGTTTCGTGGATATATTCAGGACTGGCCCAAATATTAGGCAAACCAGAGCAACGTCAGCCTCATTAGACAGATAAGGCCAAGAAATCACAGGAAGGTTAAAGCTATCTTTATTGAGATTGGCTACAGTAAACAAATCATGCAGGTCTGATTGTGCTGGACCTTCTCCTCCTTTTTATGGTTCAATGAATTGTGCCCCTTTTGCCTAAGCAACAGAAATTGCATATCTCAAGCAAGGTCATCTTCCTTACTCTCGCCTCTCAAGAGATAGACAGGGACAGACAGTGAGTATGGGGCAAGTTCTATCTTCCTAATCTGCAGCAAAGGCTTTACTACACTCAAGGTAATGTTCGTGCCTTTCTAGAATAACTTGCCACCCCAGACATGCCCAAGCCATGTTGCTCTGAGATGATCCTTCTGGAGATGCCTTGGGAGGTGGCTATCATGTGTACCCGCATAGGCAGCCATTCTGGAAGCCTCACAAAGTGTGCTTCAGAGGCCAGCTCGGTGCTGATTTAGAGGATAAAAGTGGTCTTCCAGTTGATGGAAGGGGCAAATGAGAGGGAAATAGGGGAATCATGGCATATCCTCCTCCCACCCATGCAGTCTCTCCAGTAACCTTTAAGGTATATCTTATAACTACAATCATATTTTTTGTATTTGTCCTAAATGACCGATATTGAAATCAGTATGTTACATAGTCTCCATCTTGGTCGCTCTCTCTCTTTCTCTCTCTGTCATACTTTTTTTAACCACCCTTCAGCCACAAGGGTTGGGAACATGTTGTCCTCAAGACAGCCTTGAAACTCAGATTGTTTATTAATTAATGTATTAATCAAATGTATATATCTCCCCATCTGCCAAAAAAACTCTGAGCAGCAAACAATGATAAAAATAAAATGCAAATTTATAGTTAAGAATAAATAGGTTGAAGCTCCTTAAAAAATCTCCATTTTAACATCCAGGCACACCCACATTTCTGTCAATCAGTGGGCAGCATGATAGGCATTCTAGCCCAAAATTTTTAGGATGGCCACTGTCCCCTCCCCCGTGGTTTTCTTTCCTTGCCCTTCTAAACAGTCCTGAACATTTATTGTTTTTCCAATGGGGATCATCTTTATCCAATCACTTGATCATTTTAGCTCCTCTATCCAACACTTTTTTTTTTTTACTTCAGAAACCACTGGGATGATATTTCTTTTTGGAAAGAGAAGGCTTAGAAGAGAGTTGTTCAAGGTACCATGATGCAGAGCAATATTTTTCAACCTTGGCAACTTCAATCCCAGAATTCCCCAGCTGTCCACACATCTTAAAGTTGCCAAGGTTGAAAAACACTGATGTAGAGAGTAAGGAGGATGACCTTGAGCCTGGCTACACGTCTTGCGTATCTCCATCAAGATCCTCTTCCTTACTCTCTGCACAGAGCTCACGTGCTTGCCCTTTCTCTAGGTTCAGGTTACACATAGAGGAAGAGAATAAAAAAATCAAAAGAAGGCTACTCTTCCATCTCTTCATTCTTGTTATGCTTGCAGAAACTCAGAGAAGACAGGATTGTTGGAAGTAAGAGGGATAGCATAAAACAAGACGGCAGGGAAATGTCAGAATGGTCAATAATGACAAGAACTTCAACATATGCCCATCAACAACTACCTATGTGGCCATCCCTCATTCAACAATTGTTTTTTGCAATAGTAAGTTATATGTATTTTTTTCTTTGTAATTATTTATATAGCTCCTGTTTTTTATTCAGGAGCTCAAGACACTTCCCCCTCCTGTTTCAGCAACCCTGTGAGGGAGGTTGAGTTGACAGTGAGGAACTGGTACCAAGGAGATTCCATGGCTGAGGAGGGGCTTAAACCTGGGTCTTCCCCCCCCCCCCAAAGTTCAGGACTTTCACCAGTATACCTCAACAACTCTTTATGTGCATATACAGTTTACTGGGTATGCATTTCTTTTTCAAACCATGTGTAAACCTACTTTCTTTTTCACCATTGGGCTGCAGTGAGTAAAGAACTCCTTGTTGAAATGTTAACGGGAAATTTGGAGATGCTGGAGGTCCCGGTGGCCCTGGTGGTCCAGGAATCCCTGTCTCACCAGTATATCCTCTAGGTCCTGGAGGTCCAAGTTGTCCTAGAATTCAGAGCAAAGAAAGAGTCAGGATTCCTCAGAGCACTGGAAGTGCATTAGTTTTGCTGAGGATTAAGCTGAGCCTTAAGGCATCTGTCACGGAGCCTGTTCCTTAATGCAAAAAATCTTGCTTGAAATATGTGAAACATTGATAAAGGAAGGACAACTTTCTATCACAGCTAAGGCATGGCCAAGCATGAGTCATTCCATCCCCCCCCCCCAGTCTATCAAACCACTTCCTCCCAACATTGGATTATCAAGCATAAATATTTTGCATGCCAATTCTAGACATTGGTGGAGAAAGTCCTGGCTGTGAGGAGGAGACCAGAGCAAAAGAATATTAGTGTGTCCAGTTGAGCTACAAAGCAACTAAGAACCAAGGAATAAGCCAGCTTGTAAAAAAAAAAAAAGTCTAAATGGTAGAGGAATGTATACCAACTTGAGGAGAATTGGCTGCTCAAGTAAGCTTCAATTTGAAGAGGAACTTTTCTTAGTCCTCTCCAAAAAAACTGAATGGCTGGCCTGGGTGGGGAAGCATCCTCAGTCCAGCATAAAAGGTTGCAAAGAACTATACAGGTAGTTCTTGATTTACAACCTTTATCTTTAATGACCATTTGCAGTCTCAAAAGAGGTGCTTTTCAACCCATAGAGCACTTCTAGCCATTGTAAAAAGCTGTACTGCTCTCCCCCCAGTCACATGACCACATGTTGGGTGCTTGGCAACTTGTTTGCATTTACATCTGGTTGCCATGTGCCCTCTTATGGTGCAAGGAGGCAAAATCCTCTCTTATGCTGGAGGAATGGACTTCAAAGCTGGTAAAAATATTAGCAGAGAGAGGGAAGGCACATTCAGATCTGAAAGATTACTATTACTACAAAAGTAGTTTTAGTATTTATAACTTTGGTTTCCAAGTCTGGTCTACCTTGAAGAGCTGACATCAGTCTTCCAAGTCTGAAAGCACCTCCCCCTTCCTATCTTTATCTACAAAAGAATTAGGGAGGGTCAAGCCTAAGACCTTTTCTCAAATTACATTTCTGCCTGGGAAAGTGGAAGTTGTATCTGAAGAACAGTAGGTTGTAGAAAAATGGTGCCATGTAAATAAACATGGTAACTCATCAGTTGACTTGTTCCCAGATATGTAACAGTATAAGTATGCCCAGAAATTGGACAGAAAACATTTCTCCAAATTTGAAAGGTATCACATGGCATCTTCTTACTTGGTATATTCCAGTTGTTTAGACTTCACAGTCTAAACAACTGGAATATAGGGAGAAATTCGTGAGTAAATCTCATATGCAATTTTGCAATTCCAGCGATCAGGGCTTCTAGGTCTTAGCTCATCCAAGCTCACTCTGAACAGTTCAGAACCAGTTACATTTTTTTCAAGGATGGAGTGCTTTCTACATTGGTAGGCAGTGAAAGGTGAAGGGGCAGTGATACAGGACAATCTCACTAAGGGTTTTTGACCATATCAGCTCAGAAGCTGCAGGGAATAAGCACGAAACAGGATGTTCCTCCATCACCTAGAGAGCTAAGCAGGAGAAGTGTAATAAGCTGTGAGAATAACCTTGAGGAATAAGAGGAAGAGTTGCAACCAAGCAGTAATGTTAAAAATGATCAATGCCCCCCCACTTCTATCACCTGTATTGAGTGCCATGCAGATTTTAAGCACAAAACTGTTCTAAAAAAATAAAACATACTCCTACTGATGAGAAATTGTTGCCTTTGATGATGCATGTGATGTTCATTAATAAAATGAGGACCTATGATGAATCATGTATTCTTAAATGGAATAAATTACAGAGACCTGTTTTTCAGTTTTGGAAACAAACTGCTTTAATAACATTGGGATTAGAAAGGATAGCCAAGAAGAAAACTCAATTCAGCCATCAAGACTGAAGATTTGTGTTTGAGTGTGCTGGGCTCCAGGTCCCTGCAATCCCTTCCTATAATCTAAATCACTGTGCTGATGAGGACTATGGGAATATGGTTCATCTGGAAGCTACAGAATTGCCACGTAACATGTAGCCCAATTTCAAGTATCTTCATGAAATCTGCCAACTCAGGCTCCATATTGTCCTCCCATAAGTGTAGCTGTTTCTCTCTTCCACTCACCTGGTGATCCAGCTGGTCCTCTTTCACCAATCTCTCCCTTTTCCCCCTTTGGGCCTTGCAGTCCTGGTCTCCCAGTTGGCCCTGGTAGCCCTAAAAATACAAGCATAAACACTTTGGTTCAAAGGGAAAGCAACAGTGTCTAACAACAGGAGTCAGTTTCATGTTGTCACAGTGGTTAGAACGCAATACTGCAGACTAATTCTGCTGACTGCCAGGTGTTCAATCCTCACGGTGTAGGTGGTGTAGGGTTCCTGCCTGAGCAAAGGGTTAGACTAGAAGACTTCCAAGGTCCCTTCCAATTATTATTATTATTATTATTAGTAGTAGTAGTAGTAGTAGTAGTAGTAGTACTAGTAGTATATGCTGACTATGTAAAGCTGCTTAGATAGGACTGTAAAGCACTGTGAAGCAGTATAGAAGTCCAAGTGCTATTGCAATGCTTACAAATATAGTTATGTGTCTATATGTATCTTTATTACAGTCAAAAAAGTTGAATGAGAAAGCAACATTTAAATACCTAATTAAGCAGTCTAACTATAAGATATTCATTAATAGGAAACTGCTCATAACATATCAAGAATAATAATTCACACCTTCCTAATTGGTTCACAAACTGTGTTCTTAATTGATAAACACTGCCAAAAATTCCGCTGCAGCAGGGATCTCCTTGAAATTTCTGTCCCAAAATAAACATTTTACATATTCAGCATGAGATCAGCTTGCAACTATTTTTAATAAGACCCAGATCAAGTCTAAGATAAGCCTTTTTCTCCCACCACTCTCAAATAATTACAATGGGTCCAACACATATTTAAGTCTGAGAGATAATATGAAAAAAGAGGCAAAGCTTGAAAAAAATTGTCTGTGTTTGGCATGGAGAAGAAAAGACTGGAGGAAGACATGATGGCTGTCTTCAAATATTTGGAGGTTGCCAGGTAGAAGATGAGACATACTTTTTAAGAGTCCTTCTGGAAGACAGGTCACGATAGGTTTAAATTACAAAAAAGTACATGTTGGTTGGATATTGGGAAAACATTCCTAAAGATATGGGATATTCAAAAATAGATCAACCATTTGGAATTTCTCTTCCTTCACTGAAAGTGCTTAAATTGAATCTGAATGACTCTGTCGGGGTACTATAGTAAATGGATTCCTGAACTGGATAGGACTGGATTACATGAGCCTTAAAGCCACTTCAAATTCTGTGATTTTCCAGAACAAAAAGTAAATCAGACCTTGCTAGTAGCTATGTATACAAAACATGCTTAACCAAGTTACTCAAAATCTTAGTGGCTCCATTTGCATAGCAACTAAGGCAACCATTGCAAATAACTAAGGTGATTTTTATGTAAGGGTTTGGTTTAGTGAATGGAGACTTAAGCACATTGAGTGAACCCAGCCAGTTTATGGTTCATAAAATGAGTAAATTCCATCACTAGCTAAGTACATTGAGCAACTGTATGTAGCTATTTCTCAAGCAAGTGTTTTCAAATGCGTTGAAAAAATATAGATGATCTGATTATTGTTAAGAAGTTAAGACATGAGATGGATTAGCTGATGCCTGTTCCAAACTAAATTCATTCTGTGAAGAATAAGTGAGGCCAATAAATCCCACACAGTCTGTTTCTCCACGGATATAATGGATATTTATTATATACAATAATAGTCAGTGATCTTAAGCATGACAAAACTAAAGGAATGCCTGTATGCCATTAATTAATGCTTTGCTAAATTAAAAAAAGGTTGCATTTAAAAATAAGATTTGCAGATCAAATAATTACTGTACTTTGAAAAAGTAATATAATTTGCAGTGAGGAAATTAAACTTTCCTTCCTCATTCATTTTCCCCCTGTAACCTCTCCCCTCCCCCTCACAATTACCTCCATCCTGAAATCCCATTTCTCTTGCCCTGTTTCCACATGTAGCCACCTTAATCATCCTTGAATCCTTTTTCCCAGAGAACTCCTGTTTTCTACTCTTTTCTTTCTGCACTGCCTTCCCTGGAAGATTTCTCCCTAAGACCATTTTTCACTTAATTAATTTTACCCCTTCTTTTCCCTTTTCCAGCCCTTCCCTGTCACTCAGACAATCTTCTTCTACCAGAGGATGGGAAGAGAGAACAAGTGCTATTACATATATAATGAGAAATTACCACTAACATCCTAACATCATTATTACTGGTGGAAGGAAAGCTTGAAAGAAAGACTTCCTCTGTCTTTGATCACTCATTTCCGAAGCATCTCTCCCTCCCTCCCTCCCTCCCTCCCTCTCTCTCTCTCTCTCTCTCTCTGTGTGTGTGTGTGAGAGAGAGAGGGGGGGGAAGACAGAGACAGAGACAGAGACAACAGAGTAACAGGGAAGTGATGGCCATATACTTGCAACCTATCCATTACTATTTCAACCAAGGGAAACTGGTAAAAGAGGTCAAGTAGCATTGGTCATTGGGATAAAAGCAGCATCACAGTCCCATGACACAAGACTCACGTCTTTTATGATGACATCATAATGACACCATGCTCATGATATTATGCAGAGGTCCAAAAGGAGCAGTGTGATGCTGCTTTCATTATTTTGATAAAAGTGGCCGTAGTTGTGGACATCCATGTCTCTAGACATTGTGAATTAGTGAATATTGGGAACAGCTTATTTGCAGAGCTGACTGCATAGGGCAGGGGTGTCAAACTGCCAGCCTGCAGGCCGGATGTATCATGCTGAAACCGTGCCCACCCTATTGCTGGCAATGGAAAAAGAGTTGCGATACATTGCGACACGTCATGTGACGTTGCAAGTTTGACATGCCTGGCGTAGGGGAAGACTTCTCTCTTTATGAAGATCCAACAGGATTTCCCCTTTTCTTGGACAATGTCTAAACATACTTTTTTCAGAAAGGTTGGTTACTTACTTACTTAAATAAGTAAGATACTTGTATAGCAAATGATAATGCTATAACTAATGATTAAATTTCTTGGCGTGAGCCCAGACATAATGTTATTTGATTGAAATAATGAACCACAAATTCAATGCAGAAAAAAGACAGAATTGGCCTACTAGGAAATACATGGCATTTCCCATTTTTATGAAAATCAGATGCCCAGGAAGAGAACACAAGGCAATCTGCTCACCAACAGGTCCCATTGGTTTCCTCAGGGCTGTTCCTGGATTAGCTAGGGGAATAGCATCAGGCACCACATCATCATACCAAGTGGCTGTAGTTCTTGTCATTGGAAGATCATTGTCTGAAGGTGAAGCTCGTTCTGCAGCCTCAAGCAAAAGGATCTGGATGGAAAACATAATGGTCAAAACAAATTGTATATAAGAAAGTGACATGGAGGCAATCATACCAAGTCATTTTGAGTAGGACATGGTGTTTGAATGAAAATCAGGACCATGAACAGCTCCTAATCAGTCCTTGAGTACTGGAGCAGCTGGATTAATGTTGTCCCAGCAGAAAATAGGAATTTCTCTGAAATAGTATTTGAATCATTAGCTCAAGGGATGGTGTCCTCGAGAAAACTTTGGATCCCTGGGTTACAGTCTTTAGTACCTATAGGAAAAACTTCTGGGGCAGACAGGCTGCACCTTGCAAAACCTAAGAAGAATATCTTTGGAAAACATATTGTTGAAGTCATCTGGAGGGCTAGGGGTTCTATTTCTTAGAACCACACTTAAAACACAAGTCTAAAGTTAGTATACTGTATCTTACATACACCAAGACAGGGGTCCTCAACCTGTGGGCCGTGAGGAGTTGCAACTGGGCTGTGGAAATGGCCGGCAAGCGGGTGCACGTGCATGCATATCTTCAGTTGTGCGAGCAGAGGTGAGCATCAGAGAGCATATGCACATGCGCTCCATTTAAGTGAGAGGCAGGAGCATTTGTATGCCATTCATGCAAATAGAGCTGTGCACACACACACACACTTGCCAGCCACGTGCGCAAACTCCACCCCCACCGCCAGTCCACAAAAATGTAAATGTTGGGGAACTCTGCACTAGGAGATACAGCAGAGAAATTTTTAAAAGAGCATTACTAAAGGGCTCAGATGCCTGTATGGACAGCAAACAGGCAAACCTAAAGGAGAATAAAGATGACATTGAAAGTATTACAGACACTAGCTGGGATGGATATCATAATTGGAATACTGTGCAAGAAAGATTTAATTTGTTCAGAAGAAACAGATCCGACAAAAGGAGAATCTCATTGTATATAAAGACACATTTATACAGAAATTAATAAGTCACTGGGAGTTTGGCAGCAAATAAATTTAATAACAACAACACATCAGGGAGGAAAACCCTGTTGAAAGTGCTTGGGTAAATATTAAGACTGAAAACAACAAAACAAAAATGATGTTGTGGGCATGTACTACAGGCAATTCAACCAAGCAAAAGATACAGGTGAAATTTTTGCAGACTGGATGATCAAGATATCCAGGAAACACTTTAGTGAAAATGAAGGATTTCAATTTCCTTGACATCACTTGGAATCATACTCTGCAGTAAGTGGGAGATCCAATAATTTCTTGACATATCTTGTAGACAACTGCAGTGGAGAAAGATCTAGAGAATCAGCTATACTGGACTTAATACTTACTAACAAGGAGTAAGTGGTAAAGGAAATGAAAGTGGTAAGAACTTTGAGAATGACCATATACTCCTAGAATTTACTACAGCTTAGGCAGCTGCAAATGTTTTCTACATAACTTACTAACCTTGTTTGGTAGTTTCTAGAACACAGAGCATAGAATCATAGGGATGGAAGGAACCACAGAGGTCTTCTAGTCCAACTCCCTGCTCAAGACAAGAGATGTTACCATCCCAGTCAAATGGTTTGTCCAGTCTATTTTTGAAAACCTCCAGTGATGGAGCACCCACATCTCCTGGAGACAAGCTATTCCATTGATTAATTGTTCTCACTGTTAGAAAATTTCTCCTTACTTCTTCTTCTTCTTGTTGTTAATTGCGAAGTCGTGTCTCTGACCCATCGCGACCCCATGGACAACGTTCCTCCAGGTCTTCCTGTCCTCTACCATCTTCTGGAGTCCATTGGTTTCTTTTAATAAGTTTTCACCCATTACTTCTTTTCCTGCCCTCTAGTGGCTTAGGTTAGAGAATAAGTAAATCCCCTCTTCTCTATGACAGCTCTCAAGTACTGGAAGATAGACATTACGTCCCTCCTAATCCTTCTCTTCTATAGGCTAGACATAACTAGCTCTCTCAACCATTTATCATGTGATTTAGCCTCCAGACCCCTTATTAAATTAAGTCTGCATTTGTAGGCACATTTATCTATAAGAAAGCATAATTTAATTCACTGGGACTTATTTCTGAGTAGATGTAGATAAGACGGCATTTCATCTCACATAGCTGTTAACAGTTATTAAGAAAAATGTATTTAAATTAAATGTGTGGAACGAAACACTCTATTTTGCTTGAAATAAATAAGCACAAGCCTTTTAATGATATGGGGGAAAGTTATAATTTGGAGCCTGGCAGAGAGAGAGAATTATATTACAAAAAAAGAGCGATCATGCAAAAAGCATGTGGTCGTTTAGCAATCACACATGGAATCAATCATAACTAGCATTTGTGTAATCTCATGTCCTCATATCCAGGACACCACAGCCTATGCCTTTCACTGGGATGCATGATATCAAATCAGATAACTGCAAGTTTTCAAAGAGTGGTCCAAACCTTAAATTTCTAACAGACTATTCATAATCCACCATGGATTTTGCTAAAAGCTTATAGCAGATCGGACAATAAAAAACTGGGCTCCAGAGAACCTGACAAATATAGATAGTCCTGGACAGATTATGCATTGTGAAATCTAATACCTAAGTATAGTTTTAAATAGCATATACTGTATACACTACATGCAGCCATGTACACACAAGGCTTCATGGTTGGTCAAGTGCTGGTGGCCTTGGAAACGAAGATCCACAATAACCAAAAAGAAAAGAATAACAAAGATGATTAGGGGGCTAGAGGCTAAACCACATGAAGAATGGTTGCAGGAATTGGATATGTCTAGTTTAACGGAAAAAAAATGAAAATCTTAAAAATCTATGCACATAATATATTCTTCCTAAGTTCTACTTCCTGAAGTTGAACTTCAAAAGATCAAATCTCCTGGCCTAAAGCAGCAACAGCTTTATCTGTTTTGGTGACTTTTCACTTGGGATGGTACCTAAGTTATGTGGTGGGAATCAGCTCAACTGAATTGGTCAAGGGAATCTCATACAAAAGAAAATTCTCAATCAACCCATCCTCAGGCAGTTAGCCACTGGCTCTAGCAGCTAGGTTTAATGGGAAATGAGGTGCAGCAAGGAAAGCCAAACCATTAACACTACTAACTATGCCACAAAGACGCAAAGGAAATATAGTAGACAGGGAAATCTTGGGGTCTTAGCAATTTAAGGACAAGAGTGTGCATGGGGAAGGGAAGAGATGCATTAGTCAACATAGGATAAAAAAAAATCCTTCCATTTTTGGGTGGGGAAAGTCAATCCAACAGTATCTAGATACTATAACAATGGGGGGGGGGGGACAAACAAAGAAGCTTGATTTCTCAGAGCAAATTAGTTTTGGACAAGTTCATGGGAATGGACTGTATGAACCCAGATGCCTCCCAGGCATACCTTAACAAGATGCCCACAAACTTGGGATTGAGATTTCAGGAATTTCTTATCGACTTTACCATTATTTTCATTTTTTTGTTGTTGTTATTTTCTGTTTTGATAAACTAATACAAATTTTGAAACCAGAAAAAAACAGATAAGGGCTGTCTTTCATTTCTTTGGGTGAATTTTAGTTAATGGCAGATGTGAAGAAAATGTTGCTTCCGGACTTTTCAAATTCTATTTGTTTCCATAAAGATGTGATCTTTCCACCTCCGTTAAAATCTAGGACTAATATACATTTACATCCTCCTCTGTGAAAAAGATCCCTAGCTTGTGATACAAATAAATCAGAGGTTTCCTTCCGTCCAGCCCACAGTAACCTTGATAACATGTCGTGTTATGATTTTGAGGAAAGAAAGAAAGCTGGCATCATACAAGATCAGTACTGATGGATTGAGACTTCATGGTAATAGATTCAAATGAGATGTTATGAGGAAATTTCTTGACGATAAGAGATTGACTCATGAATGTTGGAAATTAAAACATTCCACAAACATGTGTGAACATTCCTGAGAGAAGAAATCTGACCTGAGCAATTATTAGTGAAGCAGGATATAACTATAACAGGAAGTAGATTATGGGAATAGATAATGCTAGCACCTAGCTAGCTATATTTTACCAAATCAAAGAGCACATGTTCTGTGTGCATCTGTATTTGGGAAGAAAATGGTCATAAATTAGGATCCTAACAGATTAAAAAAAGGGACAGAGAATCGATCCTTAATACTATCTATACCCTACTGCCTACTTGAGATCTGTAGGCCAAGAGGTGCTAAAGAATCAATGCCATTCAATTTACACCTCCAGTTATAAAGTGGCCTATTCCTCCCCCTTGGTGGTCATCTTCAGATAGACACTGGATAGTCATTTGTTTAAAAGATTTTCTCAGATCCTACACTAAGCAGCAGATTGAACTGGTGTGTGTCTTCTAAGATCTTGTCCAATTCTATGACCATGAACATTTTTCTATTCATAAATTAAAGGAGAATGGTTGAAGTCTTTTAAATGAAGGATCCCCACCAGTCCATTTGGAACCAGGCCGTGGAAGTGGTGGGTGAGTGCACACACTCACGCATTTGCAAAGCTCTGTATGTGCAAGCAGCAGGCGTGTGGCTCGCCACTCACGCAAATGGAGCTGTGTACATGCGTGCACACCTGCCACTTGTGCATAAGAATTCCCTCTGTCTCCCCCCCCTCTGCCAGTCCTCAAAGCCGGAAGATTGGAAATTGCTGTTTTAAATTAGAGTCTGGGGGATGCTCCAGAAAAGTGGGATAGGATATTTTACGACAGCTGAGATCAATGAAGTCAGGTAGATGAAGGCCAAAGGTAGGGAGTATTCTCAGACATCCAAATGGTTTCTTGAAAAATGTACTTACTTTGGCTTCCAAGATATTCAGCCTTTCAGTCATATCTGTGAGCTTTGTGCAATTCATACATTCTAGAAGAAAGAAAAACATTGGGTTTGTTACAACATATGGTTAAAATAAATGAAAAACTCACATTGATCATGTTTTAATTTTATTTTAATTACTGCAATGTACTGTCTGTGCTTAGCTTTTCAATTTTTTTTTAAAAAAATCCCTAGGGGGTAATTGCAATTATTTATTAACACAATAACATTTCAAAAACAGTACACATTCCTATGTTGGATGCAAATAAATAAATGATTAGTTTCAGAAAAGAAGCAGACGGATGATCCTTATAACATTTAAAAAGTGGTCTGGCTTGGAAACAATAATGATAAAACAATTAGAAATGTTTTAACCAAATGTTTTATTTGCTGGAGAACAAGGGTTAGACAACAGAGTGGTAGATGATTTGGACTACGGTTCCCATTAGCACCAAACAAAAAGGCCAATGAATAAGGATTCTAGTAACTGTTGTTCAGAAGCCTTTGGTTGCTTAACTGTGCCCAAAATAGGAACGGGGAAAAGCAAATTTCTTTACATATCTGCAACAGAATTGCATGGAGGCTTGGGAGTTCAGAACACATATTCCATCTCCTCTGCGAAGATTGTTGGATGGAACTACAGATAGTCCTTAACCAATGATTTAGCAATTGTCAAGTTATAATGAACCCCTCAAAACCTACAACCTGGTTCTGACGTTTTGATGGCCATCTCCTCTCCATGGTCTCACAACTGCATTTTGGGGGCTTGGCAACTGGTTTACAGGCATTTACAATGTCTTGTGGTCACAGGCCTGCAATGTACTCATTTATTTATTTATTTAAATTTATGTTCTGCCCATCTTGCAATTTGAGGCAATTCTGGGCAGTTTATAATGAAGTGCAAATGTTTTTGTAAAACATTTTACAAGCTTGTCACATATACCACTTCATAGTGCTTTACAGACCTCTCTAAGCAGTTTACAGAGTCCGCATTTTGCCTCCAACAATCTGGGTCTTCATTTTACTGATCTCGGAAGGATGGAAGGCTGAGTCAACCTTGAGCCGTTCAGAATCAAACTTCTGGCAGTGGGCAGAGTCAGCCTGCAATACTGCATTCTAACCACTGTGCAACCACGGCTCCTTAAGGAAAAACAAAGTAATGTGTTCCATCTCTGATGCGTGTCTCTCTTCTTTTTTCATGTTTTGTTTATGTGTTTGGGCGCTTTGAGAAGCAATTCCAAGTAACACTATTTTTTTATTTAAGCTAAATGTTTTGAGGATAAATATAATTTTTTGAGCTCTTTTGACAATTCTGTCAAAACTGCTAACATTCCAAAAACTATGGAGAAACCCTTTCCAGTGTACTCTGACATTTACAATCCTTTCCACTTGCTTTTGAACTATTCTTCGCTTGGTAGTGCCACATCTATATGTAAAGCTTCACCTACTATGACATACATCGTGTTCTGTTTTTGATGTCAGTCTTTCTGAACTTGAAAGGCCCATAATATTTTTACACAATTGTTCTGAAATAACAATAAAGAGCCATAGGAATAATGCCCTGTTTATGGTCTGGACTGCTTGCTGTTGGAAAAAAGGTTGCTGAACCTGATACATACTTTTTCAATTTTAATCAGCTTTTGTCCCAAGGTAATAACAACCAATGTGTAAAATAAATTTTAAAATATATAAACTAAAATAAGGCAGTAGGTGGCAGTACTGACAAAGCAACATCTTGAAAGGAAACTAGGAAAAGGTGGAAAAAAGGAAAAGGAAAGGTGAGGGACAGACGGATCTTGACTCATTAGAATGTTATTTTAACAATAGTAAAATAGCTTGCATTGGAAAGGACACACCAACCACCAGACCTACTTGTTGGAAGAGGAATGGATGGATGGATGGATGGATGGATGGATGGATGGATGGATGGATAGATGAATGAATGAATGAATTTATTTGAGTCAATTTGACTATGGAAAAAATGTTCCTAATGTGTTTAGTGTTAACTCACAAGAGCCCAATAGGTAAATGCCCACTGCAAAATGGCTCATTTATTTGACAGTAAGAACTACTAAGCAATGAAATAGTTTGCCCCCTGGACTTGTGGATGCTCCATTACTGGAAGTTTTCAAGAAAATAACCTACTTTTAAGAAGGTAGGTTATTCATTTTTTTCTTTTGCACATGACAAGCTTATAAAATGTTTTACAAAAAATATTGCAGTTCCCTTTGATACAAATTAATGTTTGTAATAGGGGCAAGCCCATACCGACATACCACTGAATTCAGGAAATGGCTAGAAAATGGCTCATGCTTGAAAGAAAACAGATGGCAAATATCCAGAGCATGGCGGGCTGGCCTCTCCACCTGAAGGGTCCAGCAGTCCCACCCTTCTATTAAATGTTGAGTCTGTTCACATTGTGCACGCAATCCAGTTCCTGAGTTAATCCACTTTCTAGATTCATAATTTTCAGTAAGGTTCAAAAACAGAAACAATCAAATACTCCTATCCCAAGTATAGTTAATATTAACCTATTAAGGGTTAATGTTTAACCCTTACATAATGTTAATGTGTAACCCTTAATTAACATTAAGAGTTAATGTTAGAGTGCAGCTCCTAGGTTTTTTTTTCATAGATTTGGATAAATATTGTGAAAATGATCCTTCAGTGTATCATACAAAAAGAAAGTGGGGAGAGGGAAAACTGAGTGCAACTATGCATAAAATAACTTTCTAATCCTATCTTGAGACTGTTCCCAAAATGGGAAATGCTGGATATATCTGATAAATCAAAGAAAAGTCAGTGTCCCAATTAATTTAATTAAAAATAAATTTAAACATAAATCAGACCAGGGATACATCTATACAAAGTGGATTAAATATATTTAAACCACATGGCTGATTAAATCAATCACTACCCAGTCAGCCATATTTATTTGCAGTGCACTACTAAAGAATCAATGACACAACCCTATCTTTTACTACTGCAAGGCTGCCATCATTTCCTGGCACTTAAAAAATATATATTTCAGGAAAAATCAAATCAAATCCAAACCATTGTTAAGTCTTTCTACTATCGTAAGGAACATAATCCTAGAGTAGCCCTGGAAAATTTTAGTGCAGTGTTTCTCAACCTTGACAATTTTAAGGCATGTGGACTTTAACTCCCAGAATTCCACAGCCAACAATGCTGGCTGTGGAATTCTGGGAGTTGAAGTCCACATGCCTTAATATTGTCAAGGCTTGGAAACATTGTTTTAGTGTCTCTAAGAACTTCTTTTTTAGATTTTTATAAATCCTGCCTTTAGTATTTTAATAAATAGCTCAAGGCAATACTCCTTCCTCCTCCTATTTGCACCATAAGAGCATTCATTCCTATGAAGTGAGTTAGACTGAGAGAGAGGAACTGGCCCAAAGTCCCCCAGCTGGCTTTCATGCCTAAGGTAGGACTAGAACTCACCATCTCCTAGGTCCTAGCCTGGTGCCTTAACCACTAGACCAAACATTAATCTTAACATTAACATTAACCACTAGACCAAACCACATTACAAGGTAATGGTGGTTGAAAAGAGAAAGACTATGGACTTCTTTGCTTCCATCTAGTAGTTGTCTATTTTCCAGCTCAGAATTTGTAGATCCAGCTTGAGAGATAATTCAATGTTTTCATCAAATGCTTCTTTTCACTCATGCAGAAACCCAGTCCTTCAATGAAATCCATGTGATAAACTTTTTATGATATTTTAAATTGTCCAAAGATGGTTTCTCAGGCAATGCGTTTCTTCAGAGAAAAATATCAGGCTCATTTTAATCCAATTGTTTCATTATTTGCAGGTTTACACCAATAGAAGACAGTGATTCTTCAAGTTCAGAACATTCCAGATGGTGACTAATAATTTAGGATTAAGTTAAATCCTGACTTAAAGCTGATTAGAAGCTGGTTTTTTTGTTCAATAATAAAAATATGATAAACATATGATTAAAGATATGATGAATAGTTGCAGGAACTGGTTATGTCTAGTTTAATAAAGACTAGGAGTGACATGATAGCAGTTTCCCAATATTTGAGGGGCTGTCACAAAGAAAAAGGGGGTCAACCTCTTCTCCAAAGCACCTGAGGGCAGGACAATTATCAAAGGGAGATCCTACCTAGAACTAAGGAGTAATTTCCTGACAGTGAAAACAATCAGTAGAACAGCTTGCCTTCCGAATTTGGGAGTACTCCAACAATAGATGTTTTTAAGAAGAGACTGGACAGCCACTTACCCAGAATGGTTAAGGTCTCCTGCTTGGGCAGGGGGTTGGACTAGAAGACCTCCAAGGACCCTTCCAACTCTGTCAATAATCAGACGGGATGCTAAGCTCCCAATGCCCTGTTTGTCTACTCATTTCCAGGCAGGAAGAAAGAATAAAGCAAACAACCTGCATTAACCATCACTACCTCATTTGAAGCCTATCTAATAAGCTCCCTGACTGAATGATATAAAAATGTGGCCTCTCACCAGTAGAAAAACAAGCAATTCAAGAAAAGATTTAATCCACCCTTTGCCTACTCTGCTGGTTTTCTACTTGGGAGTTCTTTTTAAAATGTTGGCATCTATTCAAATAAGGTTTCCCCAGACAGCAATCTGGCCTTCTCTTTTCAACTGTTTTGTCCTTGTGTGGACTATCTTTTAGAATGGAAAACTTCCCAGCCGAGTCTTGGAGAAAGTTCCCATTTCCCTTTGCCATCTTCTGATGCCTTAATAGCAATCCTTAGACACCAGGAACTGAGGGAGTTCATCCAGAAATTACAGGACTTGCAACTTCAGATTCCTTTCTGCCCAGGCATCCATTACCAATGATGACAACCTTTGCCATTTCTACAAGTATCCCCCCACATCCCCAATTTACAGGAAAGCAGTTAAAAGCATACTACTTTGAGAGAGAGGAAGATAAATCTCTTCTCAGCAGCCCCCAAATTCATCTCCAGAGACCTGGCTTTGCACCTCCAGTTTGCTAAAACAATAAGTCCTGTCCTTGTTAGAGATTCTACTCTGGAGCAAATTACTC